ATTTAACCAAGACAGGTATAACTAAAATGCGATGATGGTTTAATATCAGAAAGTTTGAGAATTAAACTTCGACTTTGGACTATATTCATATCTATAATCACCGAAATCATAAACATCCATACATCTCGAGACAGGCTGCAAATAATAGGCGCGAACAGGAGATCAATGTTAAGGTTTCCATTTGATTTTAGGGCATGTGTTACGAAGCCTCCAGAAAGGAAGGCTAAGCAACTGTTTCTTGCGAATCCGACAGGCAGAAGGCACAGGGGACGACCAAGATTAACCTGGTGATAATATATGGAAGGATTCTGCTCCAGAATCCATTTATCCTTTGCCGAAGCTCAGTCTCTGGCGCAGGATGGGAACGCTGGAAGCTGTCTGACGCTTCTGCCTCCACGACCCGAAAGGAGAAGTGGCGACGGAAGATGAAGATGAAGGTTATTACACGAATCGGATGGCCACCGTAGCGTTATTCTGAGATGTGAATACAAGCCGTACTACGTGCTTATAGGTGATTCTCTGCAGCTGGTCGCCTACACGATGCACGCACGGAACAATAATCAATGAATTTCTTATCTTTATTCTCAGATCTTTCTTTGCAACTCCTTTTTTGCTGACTGCTTATTCTACTATACATCTAAAGTAGCCACCGTTTCTGAAACCTCTCCGCATGTTCAAGCCAGTTTCTTTTGAATATCAATGTCGCCTGAGCTCAGTTCCAAACAGTTGACTAGCTACAGTGAAAATGATGCCCTTGTTCACGTGATATGCGTGGTTGAAATCGAATGACAAGAACTTATTGGCATATACTGGCTTGCGAATCAAATTAATATAGCATATTAACAGCCTGTTATAAATTATCGTCTCAATGTTATGTCTGCTAACAAAAATCAACTTACTATAATATGTTCCCCAGCGAAAATCAACCAAAAGCTAAGTAGCATCGCATAAAACAGTCCCTGGCGCAAATCTGACAATAGCAGCATGAAAGGCATTCGGAACCACAATGTTAACCATTCGATTGGTACTGAAAGCACAAGATCGCCGTTAGAACCGAAACACTCGCCTGGTGATACTTACGGTCGATGAACAGCATCATGATGCCCAAGCTGAACAGACACTTTTCGAGCAACACCGGCGGTCGATTTAACTGTCTAATGCGAGACCAGTACCAAACAACGGCTGCCATCATCACGGGAAACAGCATAGTCTTCATCGACAACCACACCTTTGTGAAACCACCGTTCTGATGCACTTCCTACAAATGCGCCATATATACTGAGACCAAGCTTAAGAAAAAGTATAAAACTGTTTAACGAATTAACTTTTACTCAGAATTTAAGCAA